TGGCCTATCATATTGGCGGAGGAGAATGAAGAGTTCTGTGGAAGCCCTTTTGTGCGTCATCCAGATCAGGAGCGGTCGGGGCTCTGCACTCGCAGACCCAGAGGGGAAAGTTCCAGGTCGCGATCCAGTTTATCTAGAAGGACCCTAGCACACTGAGTTTGAGTGTCACGCCTGGGCTCAAGGACGGAAAAAGAAAGGAGGACCACACATGCATTCCTCCAATTGAAGTGCGCATTTTATTTAAAGAACTAAATTTAACTATGAAGTCAGTTAATCAGTAATGTGTGTAGTGTGTGGGTGTGTGAACATGCATCAGTATTGTTGGGGACGAATCTGCTGCTCCGCGCCGTTCCTATATGAGCGGGTTCTCAAAAGAAGGAAAAAATTCAAAGCAGCCAGGATAAGGGCTTAAACAATAATCTGCCTTTAATTGGTAAAACATACAAATAACATCATCGAATCACGAAGGCCGCTCTGCAGGAGTTAGTCCGTGGCTTCAGGTTCTACCACCGTCTGTGAGACATGTCTCAGGGAACGGCCAGTCAAAAACCAAGCGCGCCCGATCTTCAAAAATGATCACAACATTTATACACAGGAGTTCACTTCTGAGCCGATGCCCTAGGACAGTGAGTTGGGCCCAGCCGTTCCATTTTGGGTCGGTCTTCCCTTCTGGCGGCTGATCGCCAGGTTAGTTAAGTCAGTTTTGTTGATTCCATTCGTTTGCTTCACAGTGTATGTGTGTGTGCGTGTGTTTCTGTCCCTTCTGCCCTCAGGCCAGATCCCCCAAATCAATGATTTGGGAGTCCTGAACAGCGGGACGCTTTGACAGGAACACATACTCATTCCCCCTAAACATCTTCCAACACACACAAACATCTGTATCATGTTTATCTTTAACAGAAAGTTAATTGTTCTCTATCGCTTAATGGCTTCCCTGAACTTCCCTTCAACCCAAAGTCAGCTTACTAGGAATGAATACATTTAAGTTGATAGCTCAAAAGGACCTTTATCTCATTACTGCTGTTAAAAAATGCTGAGGTGACCCAAGGTCTCAAGGCCCTCTTTTTGGAGTCTGTAGGAGATAATCATTAATTCTACAAGGCTTCAACTGTCTGTGTTATCCTGAGGCCACATCTCCCTTTGGGCTAATCAATACGGGTTTTAGCAATTAGGCAGAGGAAGCTAGAGACTCTAGGGCCCCTTCCTTGCTGGGGAACTGCAAAGCAGATGTCAAAGCCCTCATAAAACCACCCTTTTGACGTACACATGAAAAAGTGGAAGAAAAGACTATTGCCCTTTAATGTATGTATTACTAAGTAGTGGGACCATTGTTTCAGGAATATATGAAAACCTCTTCTATTATTTAAACAGTTAAAAATGTACTTTCAAATGTAACACCAAAGAACGAATATATAAGGTGACATTAAAATTAATATACCAGATTGAACTTTCCTGCCATAACACGTTACTTTAATACTTCAAATAATTTAAATAATACTTCAGTATATAAAGAAAGAACAAACAAACCAAGGTCCAGTAGAGCCAAGCAACCCAAGAGGAGAGAGAGACTGACTGCTCAGGCACCCATACTTGTAGCTGAGCAGTCAACCCAAATCAGGTGTCAGCAATCTCTCCTGATTTGGGGAGTTGCTAACCAGGGACCTGAGTCTAAGGCCTAGGGGCCGTCACAGATGACACCACCCCCCTGTTCTCCTTTCTTTTTTTGATTTTCTACTTTTTCTAAACCCTGTCTTAATTTTTCTATCTGATTTAGACTCAAACTGCCTTTGTCAGGAAAACCATTTTTCACCCATATATTTAAATATTCACACGTCCAAGCACCATGTTTGCCGCATATTATCTTTGCACACCCTTCAAACTCCAAAATTACATCTTTACCATTAAACATTCCCATTTTTTATCTTTTATATACAAATATAGAAATATAATTGCCCAAAATAACTACAAATCCCACTTTAAATACACTAAATCAGTCAAATCAACAGCACCTGAAATTAGTTCACTTCAATGTTAATACAAATATACAATAGGCCTACATATATTGAAAATACAATGTTTTACTCAAGATATTATCTTAATGTTCTCATAACTATTATTACTACGCGTGATCACTTATATATATATATTTATCATAGGCCTTTATCTACTAATATAGCGCTTTCTTACAGTTATCAGAACTGTTACAGTTATCAGAACTGTTTCGACGTCGTGAATTATTGTGTGCATCAGACACCATCAATAACCCTAGTTACACTCGATTAACGTACAGAAACATTAATTAGCTCGTCAGCCCTCAGTGAGTTAACTTTTAATTTGATTATTTTACATACAAATATTGTGCTCTCACTTTTTCTCCTCTTTTTGAAATTATTATTCCCTTGAAAAAATGTCGTACCGAGAAAGTCTGTGATACCCCCTCTACAGGCGGCTTCTGCTCTTCCCTGCGATCAGTTACTGGGAGAGGTTTTGCCTCCAGGACCCGGTCTCTGGCTGTGCACAGTTTACCCGGAGAGGACGCCTCACAGTAAATTACTCAAGTAGACAAAACTGGACGAGCCCCCTCTGTTGACCACACATACATTTAAGGATCACTCCCACGCTATGACCTAATCAGAGGAACAGTTTACAGTCAGCAATGTTAATACATTTGATCACACAATTTCCATAACAGAAGTGAAAGGGTTAAACAGTGATGTGAGGATTTCAATCAGCCTTTGCAGACCATTTACATAAACCTATATAACACACTACAGGAAAGGTAAAACCCCAAAAAGCACAATAAGGCCTCTTCAAAAGAATGTTATGATCAAGATTATAGATAATGTATTTGCCAAAAGTGTGAGATTCATTTGATCTGTATTACTACAGAGAACATGTTGAGAAGGCATGGGTGGATATGCAGCGCTTCAAGGAGCAGAAAGACAAAGATCTGCGGGAGGGGCTCATCAACTACGCTGTCATGCAAGTCAGCATGTGCAAAAAGGTACGGAACAGCACATCAGCTATGAGAAGGAAGCGGTTCAACTGTCTGTTCATGTGTTTTCCTTTCTCTCCCTGCAGGGAATACAAATGTGGAGCAATGCCAAAGAATGTTTCCTAAAGATGTAAAGTGGAAGCCATATTCAAAGGATTTCGGCGATGCTCCGTTGTGCATGCTGGGAAACGATGCCAATGTGAGCTAGTTGAGGTTTGAAAACAACCGCCGTAAACAATGCACATAAAGATTATGTAGTTTCAAGCATTTATACAAAATAAGTTCATATGCAACTGATTTTCAGCAGTGATTTACATTCACTGCTAAGCTTTTTTGTAGTGAAAAGTGTTGGGAGGGTGGGGTGGATCACACAAAAGCACATGACTTGGACACTGGAGACCAGGGTTAACATTCTCAATATTTACCCAAGACCACTTTTTTGACACAATAAAGAGACACTGCATGGTGAAAGAAGATGTAGAGGTCCAGTTTATAAAATGGGTTTACAAAGGAATGTTATAGTATCATGTCCTGCCCTTTTCAGTGAAGCACTTCATCTCCACTTTATGACTGCAATGTTCTGACAGCTCATGAGGATGTGGGGCTTTCCCCTGGCTGTGAACCCTAGTGTTGGCTCTGTTTTCATGCTGACTTCAGTGCTTATAGCATGGGCCCAATGCCCTCAGGCTGCTCCTATCCCTATGTTGTTTTGTTCTAATATTCATGAGTACTAATTGGGATTTTACACCTATGTTACCAGTTTGGTTTGGTTAAGGTAACCTTGTTAAGGGAGGTCTGACATATCTTAATCAAACTGGCCAAACATGTGGACGAAGACGCCCTGAAAAAAGAGGATCTCCACATTAAAAGTCCCTTGCTATTTTTGATGCTAGCCGCTAAGAAATCTGTGCTATCTTTTTTTTTTGTAACATAATTTGTTTAATTTATTTTAAAGACATTCATGCTTTAAATGAATGAATCAAAGTGAAGAGTCTTCAAGATGTTGATTACATGTAACCATGTCCAGGGCAATGTATTGTGTATTATGTAAACTGCACAGAAGATTATCGATACTCAGCCTAAGATTCTATTTAGTTTAGATTAAATCTTAATTTATTGACTCAAATGTATTGTCTGTTTACATAACATGATATATGACGTGTCAGAGGCTTTCCAGCTAAAAGCTTTGTGAGTGTAATTAAGTGAGTTTTGATAACTCCATTTACCCCTTACCTTTTTATATTTCTAATGTTGATGCTCAATTTGGATGGATATCTCTTGTTTGTTTATTAATTTATTTGAATAAACATGTGACAAACCAATGACTATTTGTATTCAGTTTCTCTTAAAACCTTGACTCAGAAATACCATTCTTTTTCATAATCCAGTGATAGTCAGATTTTTAATATATTTGTCCCATTATTTTAGGGCCTTTAAGGATTTTTCATTAATTTACATTCTATAACTCCATCGACAGTGGCAGAAGAGTTATTCAGATCCTTTACTTAAATATAAATATGTTGTCTAAAAAAATAGCTTTAATTCCTAAAGGTACTATCAGTAATATGTACATAAATAATAAAAAATAGACTTCATGCAAAAAAACATCAGACCTAGTTATTATTTATAAGTTAATGATTGTTAAAAAATGTTTTCTTCTAATAAAGGAAAGTGATCATCAAGTCTAATTCATTTTTATTTATGTTTTATTTTATTACAGATGGAATTCAAGTGTGTAAGTCAGTTTATTAAAAAGAAAGAGTTTTATTACAAATAAGTATTTTATTTTTCAATAATGGACAAAAAAGACCTACCACAATATAGATATTGCTGTTGTTTGTGGAGTATCGTATAGGGGTTATAATAACCTATAAATAACTCTTAACACAGTGGTGTAAATCAGCGCCATATAGATAGAATTCAGTCGCGTAAATATTGTGGCGGAAGCTGAGTTTCCTTTAAAAAAAACTCTCCCACAATGCACTGTTTGCTTGGCTGTCAGACTTCCGGGTTTGCTCCATCCAACTCCACGTGAGTTCTATCTGCTCGAGACAAATGACAACAAACACTTTAATTATGAATGGAAACGAGGACGAGGACGAGGACTTCAGAGACTTTGTGGCCCTTCATGCCGGGGCCCTGCAGTCCTCCGGAATCCCTCTTATCTACTGGAGGAGCCTGCATGACAAAATCACCAACGAGGTCTGTCCCTGCTAACGCAGACGCACAAGTCACTGTCGAGCCGTTAGTGGCCGACTCCGCAAATAATTACAGATTATATATCATGTTTTTATGTAAAATAAGCAAAACCTTAGATTACGACTGGTTACCCGGCTTCTATGTAATTAAAACATGATTTATCACAGGGGAAGGTATTTTGCAAACTCGCATATCAAATCTGAATAGTGAGCTTTTCCTTTATTGTTTGCAAACTTACACTTTGAATAAGGCATATCTTATCTTTACCTACACTCATACTTTCCCCGAGTTTATTCGGCATTACATGTTGCCTTTTTTTTCAATGAAATGTCTGTCTTTATAGATGTTTTACACTTCAGTTTACCTTTGTTACCGGGTAGTTAAAAAGTAACTATTGGGGGTATTTGAAGTATGCCGAGTTGAAGAAAGTAACTAATACTATATGTATCACCTCAAAGCTGTGTTACTGAAGAGCCCCTTTTTAAAATGAGAAGCAGGCAAAACTAAAATTGACAAATCCGCTAATGGAGTCTGGTAAGTAACATGTGAAAATAATGACTCCTATCTACATTTTTTGTATCATAGATTTATGATGCTGGGGAAGTTTTTGGCATCATGCAGCTCCAACAACACAAGGAGGAAGAGGAGGAGAATGAAGAGAATGAGAAGAAGAGGGTCAACCCAGGAACAGGGATGAGCTGTAAAGTGGTTGTGACCCGGGACAGTGGGCTGCAGGTCTCTGAGCCGACCAGGTGAGGGTGCCACAGGCCAATAAATCCCACTCTACAGAAGAATTTAGCAGTATGTAACCTATAACAATAACCTATTTGCATTGGATTCAATTTTTAATAAGTTATGAACGTTTTCACTTCTAAGTTCCATTTTTCAAAGTCTTTTTTCATTTCACAATTGAATTTCTCAAAATAACACATTTTGTGTCAAGTCACATCTTTAGCCTTTGAAAATCATACACACCTGAACTTTGTCAACCTTCCTCTCCGCTGCCTGCAGTGTGTTCCTGGTGGATCACGCCTGGACGTACCGCGTGGAACAGTGCCGTCAGCAGCTGGAGCAGATCCCCGGCCTGCTGCCCAGAATGGCCGCCCTCATGGGGGTGGACTTCCACGGCGAGGCCCCTGACCCAGACACAGTGGAGCTGGTGATGGAGGACATGTGGAAGTACAACCAGACTTATAACCTCTCCGAGGGGGTACGTCCTATTCATTTATACCAACAGTTATGTATATTAATCTTGTGTTCGCCGAATACTTTAAAGGTCCCCTATTATACTGTTTTTCATCAATATATTATAGGACTCAGATATATACAAAACATGTCTCTGAAGTATTTGGCTCGAAATACCAAACAGATCATGCATTGTAGCATCCCATAAACCCCTCTGTTTCAGCCCTGTTTCAAAAGGGTTGATTCTCTGTCTGTTACTTTAGATTCAGGTGATAAGGGGGTTACCTTGGTTGGTTATTGGCTATTGGTTACCCAAAAAATCGTCATGACACCATAACGTGGCCAAAATCTGATCAGCTCATTTCCTACAGGTTTTTATATAAATGGATCAGGACAAAAAGAGAGAGAATCTTTTTTTCCTGAAACTTTCAGAATCTCTTTACACAGAGGGGACACATGTTTATGTATAAAAGAAGTGAAAAAGTGGATTTTGCACAATAGGTCCCCTTTAAATAAGCCCAGTAGGTTTGAAGCCTCTTCCTATACTCTACATAATTGGTGGTTGGTTATGTTTGTGTATTGTCAAAATGTGCACAAAACTATACAAATTCTAAAACATCTGATAAATGATTGAAATGGAAAGCAAACCATGGTGGACGTAGTAGAGTCTCAGTCGTCTACTTCACTGTTCTCCTCCGTGTTTTCGGGTGCAGTCTCCGGAGGACAAAGTCCCAGTGTGGTACATCATGGATGAGTTTGGCTCCCGGGTGCAGCACTCAGACCAGCCCAGCTGCCGCATGGCCCCCTTCTTCTACATGCAGGGGGGGCTCGCCTACACTCTGCTCTGGCCTCTGCATGACCTGCAGGAAGGAGGTGAACACGTATTCTCACACTCAGTGGCTACTCTTATCTTAGTCAGGCCTAAGATAAGATAGTACTTTAGACACAAGGTAAATATTGAACAGATGCTACTGCTCTCCTCCTCAGGGTTTAAAAGCCCCATCCCCCCTTGTGCTGAGAGAGACAGACTGACAGTCAAAGTGCACCAGATTGATGCATTTAAAAAAAACTAGGGCTGTCAAACAATTAACATTTTTAATCAGATTAATCACAGCTTAAACATTTATTAATCATGATTAATCACCATTGCCAAGGCACACAGGGGATAGGATTTCTTTATGTAGCTTTATACTTGTGTGGAATGGAAAGATAAAGGAAAGAAGCAGACTATATCCATTTTTAACATACAGATATGTTATGTTATTTATATACATTGTTCTTTGTGTCAAATATGAAAGACAGCCCACCACTACCTATCCGTTATCAGCAAACCGTGGCGGTGTATATTTCATTACGTGTTGATTTCACTAACTACGTAATTTTTGTATCGATGTTATAGAGATTTACTATCAGTCATAATATATGTATTTCTTCGTCTGGGATCTTCCGCAACAACACCACGGTCTCCGTTATGTTGATTCTGATTGGCAGAAGACGAT